CCCTCTTCTGTGACCTCCTCCTTTTTTCTGCTCCCTCCCCGTTCCTGTGCATCTTCCGATTAATTACTCCTGCGCCCTTTTCTTTTCCCTAATGTAACGGTTGTCCTCGTTTTTTCTTTGCGTTGCATGTTGCTTCACTTCGCTTCCATGCCTAGCGCAACTTGCTTGGAATTCGAGTCGGCAAATGCTTTCTTCTGCATGTTCTTGCCCCTCCTATTTCCTCCTACTTCCTCCTGCTCCTTGATCCTCCCACCCCTTCCTACACCCTCGCTGGTGAGGGCTCACGGCGCACGCGCGTTCCGCGCGGATCACTGGTGCGCCTTTTGCTTCCCTCAGGCTTCTTGTGCTTCTTCCTGCCTCCCCAAGCTCCTCTTCCGTGTTCCTACCTGCTCATGCTCTTGCACGTTTCCAGTCTTTCCTATCACCATGCTCCCTCTCTTCACCTTGTTCATCATGATTTTCATGTTCCGCCTTCCTCTCCTTTGCTCCGCTTCCTGCACCTCATCATCCGCGAATACGGATGCGGCTCACTATTTTCGCCGCTTGCCCGATTACCCGGCCTTGATCAGGGCGACTCGCCTTGTGGTTGTTCGTGGATTGGCTCGTGAATATTTGAGCAACGCGTCAATGACTTCACCGGGCGTCTAGGTGTTATTGTTGGCGTCTGGGCGTTGCCGCTGGGGTTTACCGCGGGCCAGTGCGATTAACAATTGCAAGCGGCGCGTTGGCAGGCATTCGCCTTCCTGGAGACATCTGTCTGGTTTCGCAGTGACCTTCTTTCGCGCTGCTCTTGTTTCTTTGCCTCCAGTTTGCGGCTGTATGTTTGTAGCCTTTGACTGAGCTCCATCAGACGGCTATAATTCCGCTGCCCTCGCTCGATGCATGACCGCCCCCGCCGCAATGCTCGTGAACTTTCCGGTGGGCTGATCATTTGTGGTTTTGTCTGCAGTTGGACTGCGGGCGGAACGCGGGCGCCGCTTATGCAGTATTCCATTGTTCGTTTTCCTCTGAGGGCATCCGCAGTGGACTTTGCGCGCGCTTGTTTTTTTGTTGAGCAGATCAGTTCAATAAGATCTGTCGTTGTTCGGCACGAGACCACTAAAATGAAATTGGAAAAGGAAAAAATATCCACGCGTCCCTTCATAGCCCATGGCGAAGCCAAGGTGTGTCAAAATTGTAGTTACATGAACGCGGACCCCAGATTTTGTGAAGGCAGTCAGTTCGATGCGCGGCTTGGCGCCACTCGTCGGCCCAGAAAGACATGCCCTCACGAGAGGTTCATCGATGCTCACCTTTGCTGCACTCTTGGGCTTGGGCTTGGGCGCGGCCTTCGCCTTCGCCTTCATCGGGGTGACCTTCCGCGGCGTTTCCGTTGCAGCAGACGTCGATTTCATCGGCTTAGGCGTGCCCCTCTCCTTGCGCCTCTCCTTGACGCGGTCCTTCCTGCGCTTGCCCTTGGGGTCGAGGGGCGCAAGGGCGCCTCCAGGAGGCATGTCAGGGGAAGGAGCTGCATCCACGCGAGCTCGGTCAGCGGCAAGGTCGTGCCCACGAACGCTTTTATCCATGCTCATCTCATCCTCGTCGGAGCCGTTGTCGCTGTAGAGGATGGTTGGAGGCACGATCGACATGGCAGCAACGGATGAACACGGCGAGAGGCGCGGCCACCCATCCGCGTCGACACCTTGCGTGAACGAGTTGCCCTTAGCACGACCAGGCCCAGCAGCACTGTCGCCCGACGGAGCCCTCAGGCGAGAACCCTCGTGAAGATCCAAAAGGCTGTTGCCCAACTTGAAGATGTTCTCGCCGTCGCTGCTTTTGATCATCTTCATCAAAGCCGTCTCCTCGGTGGCATCGGGCCCCGACGTGCCGTCCTCGAGTGGCTCAGGGGCGACGCCCGTCAGCTTCATCTTGCCAACCAAGCTGCGGACGACGCATTGGTCGGACGCGGTCATCTCCTTCCGAAACCGATGCGTCTTTTTGGTGTTGTTCTTATCTGGGTTGATCTCATGGCGGTGCAACTCCCTGAGGATAGCCATGAGGTTCTGAAGATGATCAGCAACTTTACTAGCGAAAAGGTCTGGCGAGGTTTTGACGATGGACTCCAGCGGCGTGACGTTCTTCACGCACAGCTCCACCCTGCTGGCTGGCAAGACACCGTTTTCGAAACCGACGCTGATCAGCCTGTCCAGCAGGCCTGCTGCCCTCACGACCGCGCCGACAGTAACGTGATAAGGCTCTGCCACCAACGGTCCAAGCTGATTCTGCAACGTCTCATGTTTGGTGTACTCGCGCAGCACATGGCAAATCGTATCCTCCCCAATGAATCGGTTTGCGAGTTCTCTGGGCCTGCGGGTCATGTTTAGGACTTGAGCCAGAACAGCTACGTGTGTGTTTTGTTTCCCATCGGACCTTGTATGGCATGTTTTCCTTTGTGTTGTGGACCCACAATTGACATGGATTCGCGTGAGCGGAAACCCCTCACCCCACCACAAACTTGAAATGGATTCGCATGAACGGAAATTCCTCACTCCGACCATGGTGGTGCGCCCTTGAACGCTACAATGTTCTACGACGTGGCGCGTCCTCAAATATCTTGGCAAGATATGGCGTATTCCATCCGCTTTGCATTACCGTACACCCTTCCCTCCCCTCCTCCTCCCTTCCCTCCCTCCTTCCTTCTCTCCTCCTCCCTCCTCCGCACTCCTCCTCGTCCTCGTCCTCCTCCGAAAGGGTCTTTTTTGGTCGGCCTTCGTTCCTCCGCTCCTCCTCATCCTCCCCCTCCTCCCCCTCCTCCATCCTCCTCCCCAAATCTGAGACCATCTAGAAACGCTGCCTATTCTGAGGCCAATTCTGTTGAACGAGCCCAAACGCCCAGTGATACAAAATCTTTTGAACGGGCGTTCCTGGGTTTTTGGTTTTGTTGAGGGCCTTCAAAGGCACAAGACCTCAAGCGACAGACAGAGAACGACCCAGCGTCCCAGCCTGCGTCCGACCGACCTCCTCCCGCCCTCCCCCTCCTCCATCCTCCATCATCCTCCATTATTCTGTCGTACTCATGTCGGCTCACGCCCAAGTAAAGCAGAGCTCGTCATGCCACGCCGAACGAGACAGACGTGATGCGTGAACATCCGTTGGCTGCAGAAAACTACATAGGTCTTGGTGAGACATTCAAATCTAAGGGCCAATCTAAGGGCAAATCTAAGGGCCAATCTAAGGTCCAATCTAGGGGTAAATCTAAGGTCCAATCTAGGGGCCGCCCATAGTTTGGCCCTCAGGTCCGTACATTAGACCATAGGTTCGTAGATTGGCCCAGAACTTAGTTTTCTGCGGGCCCCGGATGCTCAGGGCAACCGCAACGGCAACCGGGCGACACATTTTCAAAGCGCCGCGGGGCGCGACACATTTCAACCGCAGCAACCGCAACCGCAACCGGGCGACACATTTCAAAGCGCCCGCGGGCGCGCAAACCGCAACCCGGCGACACATTTCAAAGCGCCCGCGGGAGCGCGCAACCGCAAACGCAACCGCAACCGGGCGACACATTTCAAAGCGCCCGCGGGAGCGCGCAACCGCAACCGCAACCGCAACCGGGCGACACATTTCAAAGCGCCCGCGGGCGCGCAACCGCAACCGCAACCGGGCGACACATTTCAAAGCGCCCGCGGGAGCGCGCAACCGCAACCGCAACCGGGCGACACATTTCAAAGCGCCCGCGGGAGCGCGCAACCGCAACCGCAACGGCAACTGGGCGACACATTTCAAAGCGCCCGCGGAGCGCGCAACCGCAACCGCAACCGCAACCGGGCGACACATTTCAAAGCGCCCGCGGGAGCGCGCGCAACCGCAACCGCAACCGCAACCGGGCGACACATTTCAAAGCGCCCGCGGGAGGGCGCACCCGCAGGGTTTCAAGGGGGTCGATTGCGCGTGCACTTGTGCGTAAGCTGCCCGCGGAAGGTGGCGCGTAGGCGCCTTAATGCGGTCTGCCGCGCGAGCGGCTTGCGTGATCCACCGCGCAAGGTCGTCGCGCAATCGAGTGCACCCCCCTTCTGATCGTTTCTCCCTGGGGGGTCAGGCGAGTGGAATTGCCTCAGCCACGTCTCGGCCACGCTCGTGGGACTGCCCCCCGCAGGGTTTCAAGGGGGTCGATTGCGCGGGCACTCGCGCGCATGCCGCCCTCGTAAGTTCGCGCGTCTGCCGCGCGAGCGGCCTGCGTGAGCCACCGCGCAAGGTCGTCGCGCATTCGAGTGCAACCCCCCTTCTGATCGTTTCTCCCGGGGGGGTTCAGGCGAGTGGAGTTGCCTCAGCCACATTTCGGCCACGCTCGTGGGACTGCCCCCCGCAGGGTTTCAAGGGGGTCGATTGGGGGGGACGACAAGGAGAAGAAGGAGGAGCCACTGGCGGAGGGCCCGACGACGAGCCCCCGCGTGGCCCGCGGTTCTCCGCCGGGACACTGCAGCGGGGAATCCCTATTCCACGCTGCTGCCCTTGATTGGTTTCCCCATCGCCTTCCTCCCTCTCTTCCCTTCTCCTCCCCTTTGTTCCCCCCGTCCCATCCTTTCCCTCCCTCCCCCCTCCGCCAGCCCGGGTTTCAGATCCACTTCGTGGACGGCCCAGGTTCGCGACGTGGCCCTGGCCTGGGTCAGCGTCGAGCCAAGTCAACGCGTCCTCGACCAGAGGCCCGAAAAGGGCTACGAACGCTAACTTAGTTGCCTCGATACGCCCGTGTTGAAACGCAATACGTCCCGTGTTCAAGACGTCCGTGTCAATACATGGCGTGTTGGCTCCACGTATTGGGGCCACGTTCTGGCGGATGTATCGCGTCGGACCTACGTGTTCAGCCTACGTGTTGAGCTCCGTATCGATACGCTACGTGTTGCGTGTTGCGTATCGGGGCAAATTAGAACGTCAAGTTTTTGACTTTCGATCCTCGGTGGTCCTCCTCCTCTGCTTCCTCCTCCTCCTCCTTGCCTCCGAGCTCCCCCCCCTGCCGCCCTAAGGCGGGCGCAAGAAGGAGCCCGAGCGGGTGGCCTTCCTTGCAGTGCTGTCGAAGCCCGGCGTGCCGGACAAGCGCTTCACCATCGCCAAGGCGGGGGTGGAGGAGGAGCAGGACGAGGAGGAGTAGGAGGAAGAGGGAGGAGGAGGAGGAGGAGGAGGAGGAGGAGGAGGAGGAGGAGGAGGAGGAGTCGTTCGAGGAGGAGGAGGAGGAGGAGGAGGAGGAGGAGGAGGAGGAGGAGTTCGAGGGGGGATCCAGACAGCCAGCGTTTCGAAGTTGTGGAAGTCGTCTACGGCGAGGCACCGCCGCCCCTTGCCATTTAGGACGCGCCTGTGTGGCGAAGCGTTGGGGCAAGTTTGGGCCAAGCTACTGGACCATGCGTTCCCCCAGCCGTTGTAGAAACCGTTCGGTGAGCACGGAGCACGTGGTGGAGTAATAGGAAGAGGAGGAGGAGGAGGAGGAGGAGGTGGAGGAGGAGGAGAAGGAGGAGGAGGAGGAGAGGGTGGAGGAGATCTCCTGGGAGTCTCCAGGGTCGTTTTTGGGGACCTCCTCGGAGCTGCCTGGGGGCCTCTTGGAGGCCTCTTGGAGGCCTCTTGGCGGCCTCCTCGGGCTGGTTGGGCTGTCTGACTCAGGGCGATCCTGGCTCGTCTGACGCCGTCGGAAGCCGTTGTTGTGGCTTCTCGTGGTCGTCTTTATCCATCCACCATCCACCCCAACCCAGTCCGAAGGCCCCAACTTGCCAACCATTCCCAGCGGGGGCCGTCGGGCAAAAGCATTGATGGAACCCTCCCCCCCCCAAAAACCCGAAATTCAGGTCTTCGGGTTGGGTCGGGGTGGTCTGGTAGGTAGTCAGTCTTTGAGCCCTCTCGGGATGCTTCTGGCTTGTTTGGGAGGCCATCTTGGGCGTCTCGTAGGCCTCTTAGGTTGTCTCGGGGTCCTCTATTTAGGGGCCTCTTGGGCCGTCATGGGGCCATCTTGGAGGTCTCTAGGGGCTATCTTGGGGCCCTCTTGGACTGGCAAATCTCAATGAAAGCCTTTTGGTTCTGGCACCTCGGGTGTATTCTCAGGAGGCCTCGGGCCACCTGGAGCCGTCCTGGGGCCTCTTTGGGCGCCTATTGGATTGGGGGCCATCTTGGGCTGGCTGATGCTGTCTTGGAGGCCATCTTGGGCCCTCTCTTTTTAGGCCATCTCCGAGCCCCCAAGGGTTCCGTCATTGGTTCAGCCCCCTCCCTGCCCTCCCCCGGAGATGCGGCCATCCTCTCGCGTCGACCCCCTGGGGACGTCGGCCCCCTGCGGAGGGTGAGCAGGGGGACTGCGGGACCAGCCGCTCGTCACAGACCCCTTCAGAGAATCAGCGGGCGGGGGTCGGCGGATGGGGCTGACTGTGGTTGCGTGTCGCTTCCTTTTTTCCCTATCCCCTTCTCGTCCCTATTCCTCCTATTCCGTTTCCCTATCTCCAATCCCTCCTTCCATCTTCAATGTCGTTTTGGTATCGTTTTCGGCTTCCCACATTCGTCCCACATTCGTGTCTCTCCTTCCCTCCCGTTTTCCCTGCCTTCTCCTCCCTATTCCTTTCTCGTCTTCCTCGCTGTACGTCGGGGGCGTTCGTTGAGGAATCCGGGAGGATTCCTAGTCGTATGAGAGCGGCGGTAAGGTCCATGGCCAAGCCTCCATTGGTGCTCCACTGACTTTCAGACCCTGGGTTCCTCATCCACGGGTTCGCTCACCGTACAGTGGAAATCCATGCCAAGAAGCACCCTGCTTGCCTCCAGGGTGCCCTGGGTTTCTTGGGTTTCGATGGTTTTGCGATGGAAAGCCTGACGTTCCCACACCAAAGTCGATGGACGTCCTATGGTCTCAGGGTTGGGTTTCTTGTGCAAGGTTTCTTGTGGTCGAGCTCCTACTGCAGTGGACGCTTAGCGCTTTATCAGGGGAGGGCGAACGGAGACAAAGGGAGTTGGCCTTCAGGGTGTCCCTTCGTCGTCACGGCTGGGCGCAGCTCGGAAAGCAGGTGCGTCTGGATTGCGGGAGGGGTAAGGGTTCGGTTTCTTGTGTAAGGTGTCTTTTGGTCGAGCTCTTTCTGTATTATGTGCCTTTCTCGTCCTCTTCATCCTTCGAAGAAGAAAACAAGCCATAAACATGAACTTTTGGCGCTCCGCGCGCATTTGTGGGAGCCACGCTGGGCCCCCCCCAGCGACGCCTCTGGCGCCGCCCCCTGGCGCGCTCCGCGCCCCAGGGAGGGGGGTCCGGCGCAGATCCAAGAGAGCCGCGCGGAGCGCCAAGAGTTTGTGCTTCAGGCAGCTGTTCCTCCCAGTGTGGCCGAGCTCCTGCTCTGGTATCTCGTCGTCCTGGCTGCGCGCCCTCCTCTGCCGCCCCTGGCCGCGAGGACCGAAGCAGGAAGGAGTGGACCTGCGGCGGCGGCCCCGGCTGCCCCGGCCCTCCCCCCTGGCGACGCGCCGCGGCCCAGGGTGGCCCCGCGGATCGCAGGTCGGGAGCCTCGAGACGGGGCTCAGTGCAAACGGGGGTCCGCCAGGGCACAGAGAGCGTGAACTACCTACCCCGCTTCCGCTCCCAGGCAAAACCAAGTCATACCACGTGCCTCCTCGTCCAGCGGCCTGTCCAGTGCAGGCCGTAGTTTGGTATCGCTTGGTATCTCTTGGAAGCGAGGGTGGTCAAAACCGAGGTAGGTTTGTTTACCCCTTAAGGGCACCGGATCCTGCAGGATCCTGCGAAGATCCCCTCTGGGCTGACCCGGGACATCGAGCCGCTCGTGGCCGCGAGGCGGCCGCGCACATTGGCTGACCTGGGTTTGTGAAGACCTGCGTTGCAGTGTTTGTTCCTGCGTTGCAGTTTTTGGTTTCCTGCTGACCCGGGTCTGGATTGACCCGGGTCAGAAGATCCCCGAGTAGGGCTCGTCTCGATCGGGCGGGTGGTACTGGGGGGGGTGGCCTGCACGGGGGGATGAAGAACAGGAGCCTACATGGGGCACTTTGGGGCCCCTTTGGGGCCCAGGCTGTCTCCAAGAGGGGCCCTACAGTGCCCCTGCAGGGCCCCTTTTCTTGCCCCCCCAAGTAGGTCCCTCCCCCCCTTCACCACCTGCCCGATTCGACTCCTCCGGCTCGACTACATCGAAGAAGAACAACGGCGTACACGTAATTTTTTGCCGCTCCACGCGGATTTCTTGGATCCGCTCGGTAGCCAAATCATGGGAGGCTCAATTCCGTCTGTACATCGATTAGCGTCGATTGATGTCTGGGAGTCGATGCGATAGCGCCGAATTGGCGTCGATTAGCGTCGATGTTACGTCGGTTAGAGTCTTAGGGCGCGCTTCGACTCCTCCGGCTCGATTACACCGAAAAAGGAATAACGGCATACATTCGGCGTCGCCCCCACATACTGGTAGTATGTGTGCGTCGCCCCCCATGTGCGACGCGCGCACCGAGACATCTTATAGTATATGCGTCGTGGCAGGCGTTTTCTGGCCATACCGTTCGGAAAAGGATCTGTTACAAGATGGGTATACCATATGTTCCGGTCGGACGCACGTCTCCAAGGAGGACATATACTCGTGCGTCCTATACACATGAATTTGTGGCGCTCCGCGCGGATTGTTTGGATCCGCGCTGGGCTCCCCAGCGGCGCCTCGGGCGCCGCCCCTGGCGCGCTCCGCGCGCCAGGGAGGGGGGTCCTGCGCATGTCCAAGAAGACCGCCCGGACCGTCGAAAGTTTATGTTTATGCCATTGTTTGTTTTGTTACATTCGATTGATTCCGAGTTCGAGTCGATTCGACCTCGGATTCCGATTCGGATTTCGTTTTCTCAGTGTAGGCCATACTAGCTTGCCGATGTTCCGCCGGTTCGGCTTCTGCTGACTTGGCTGTTGATTTTTCGCCGATCCGACTCGTGTCGATCGCGGATCCGACTTGCCGATTCGATTCTGCGCTCTCCTGAAGACGCATGCTTGGGCGGCTTTCGGAGGCGTCCAAGGGGGGGGGGGATGACTGGGGTCGTGTCCACCTATTAGAGCTTGAAGTCGTCCACGCCAATGCTTGCGCAGACATCCCACCCTCCCACCCGATGCCTGTTTGGCAAAGCCCATTCGTGCACGATTACGGTGAATGGTTGGCACTTGCTGGCGCGTCTCTGCGGCCGCGCTGGCGCGGGCACGCCCGTACCCGGGGCGACCAGTTGGTCTGGCACAGCCGCTGCGACCACGAAGGCGCTTGCGGACGGGAGCTGCCCAGCGCGTCTCACAGGCGCGTGTGAGCATCATGGCCGGGGCCACGGCATCTCCCTAATGTTTTCCAGCCTCGAACCTATCCCTATCCCTAAGGTTGACACGCCGAAATGCGATGACAGTCTTGAAGATGCGCCTTCAAAAAATGGGGGAACCCCTAAGACTGGCATCGTGATGAGGAGATGCCCAGCGTAGGGATAGGGATACAGTCAAAAACCCTAATGAGGACGCGCGACTTTGCTCAGGGTACCCTTGCGTCCTTGCTCTTGCGTCCTTGAGTTTTCGTCGTCCGCCGCCCCAAAAATCCCAACCGCGGCTTCCAAGGGTCTCGCGTCCTTACCGCGCGTCCTTAGTCGTGTTTTTGACGGCATGTTCCAGGCTGGTGAAGTGCTCAGGGGCCCCTGCTCTTCTCCTTCAGTGCCTCCCCCTTCGCCCCCGCCTCTCCCGCGCACGGGCCCTGCGCCGAGGTCTGCGAACCCCGCCTGTCTTGAAGACGCCCCCCTCCTGGACGCCCCCGAGAGCCACGGCTCCGGATGACAGCCCCTCGACGTCTTCACGCCTGGCCTGAAGTCGGGCCTGTCCCTCTGCAGGGGGGGATGTTTAAAAATAGTCAAAAAATAGTCTGGGGACTTTTTTTTTTTGTTTTGTTGTTTTGTTTTTTTTGTTTTGTATTTTTTAATATATATATATATATATATATATATATATATATATGTTGACCATTAGGGGGCATGTTTTGCATATGTTTTGTTTTTCGTCGACAAATCCCCCTGTAGGGGGACACGCCCGACTTCAGCCTAGCCTGGGCGCCGCTGGTCGCCGCGGCTGGTCGCCGCTCCAGAGTCCTGGGCGGAGCGCACCCCACGAGGGGCTTCGGGGGTCGGCTGTGAAGGAAGGAGGGCCCGGACTTCTGGCGACTCTGAAGACACAGGACGGTGCTGTTGCCCACGTTTCGGCATTCGTGCCGGGGTCCAGTCCTGAGCCTCAGGATCGTCGAACAACACGGGGGATGGGCACCCAGTCCCAAGCGGGTCCTGGGCAAGGAGTCCAGAGGGCCGACGGCTCGAAACTCGTGGGTTCTCGGCAGTCCGGGGTTTAGGCATTCTGATTTGGAGGGAGGAGGAGGGCGAGGAGGAGAAGAAGGAGGAGAGAAATGTGGGGGCAGGATGAGAAGATGGAGGAGGAGAAAGGGAAGGAGGAGGAGGGGATACAGGAGGAACATGCAGGTTGATGCTGATGGTGATGATGATGATGATGATGATGATGATGATGATGATGATGATGATGATGATGATGATGATGATGATGCTGATGCTGATGCTGATGCTGATGCTGATGCTGATGCTGATGATGATGATGATGATGATGATGATGATGATGATGATGATGATGATGATGATGATGTTGATGACGATGATGATGCTGATGCTGCTGCTGCTTATGGTGACGATGCTGATGATGATGAGGTGGAAGAGGAGGGGGAGGAGTAGTTATGATGAGATAGAAGGGGAGCACGGAGGAGGAGTTGGGTCGAGGAGGGAGGAAGAGGACGACAATGAGAGTGGTTTGATGAGGAGGGGTGGTACGATGGAAGTTAATTGGAATTCTGGGGTGGATAAGGAACAAGAGGAGGATGGGGAAGAGGAAGGGGTAGGACGGTGATGATGAGCATGGGGAGGACAAGGTGGATGCGGAGCATTAGGGGTAAGAGGATGTATGAGGAGTAGGACGAACGGGTTGGGAGGGGAATGGGGCCGAGACCAGGTACTTTGGCGGACAGGCTGCGAAGGAGGATGCGGAGATTGATAGTAGTAGTAGATTGATGAGGATGAGGAGGAATGGGAATGACACTGCGGGTAGGAACATAATATTTAGAGGACGAGGGACATGAGGAATATTGGCGAGGGCAGGATGACTATTATGAACATGAACAGGGGCGTTAGACGACCAGGCGGAGAAATGAGATTTGTAATGCTTGCTGGTGGTGATGGTGCTGATGCTGCCTCTGCTGTTGCTGATGATGATGCTGAGGACGATGAAGATGGTGATGATGCTGCTGATGCTGATGATGCTGATGATGATGATGATGATGATGATGATGATGATGATGATGATGATGCGGATGAGGATGGCGATGCTAGTGATGATGCTGCTGAGGATGATGATGCTGATGATGCTGATGATGCTCATGCTGCTCATGCTGATGGTGACAGGAGGTGGTGGTGATGATGCTGATGATGATGCTGATGTTGCTGCTGATGACTGTGATTGGGAATCGGAGAAAGACGATAAGGGGAACGAGCGGGATACTGATTCTGATGATGAGGAGGAGGAGAAAGAGGAGGACGAGGAGGAGGAGCGAACATGAGGAACATCAGGATCAGCCATCCTTTGAGCGCTGGCCGGGGTCGACCGCGGACCAAGCTTCGATCAACGGGGAGTTGTGCGCTTCAGCGTAGATAGGGATGGGGGCGTGGACAAGAATGACGAAGACGAGCAGATGCAGGAGGAGGAGGAGGAGGAGAAGGAGGGGATGAATACACATATGTATGTATGCATGTACGAATAACATAGATGTCTATAAATGTGGAACTATACACATACACGTATGTACACTCATCTGTTCAAAGGGAGGTGGAGGGAGTGGGGGAGAGAGAAACAGAGAGACAGAGAGAGAGAGAGAGACGGAGTCATCGACAGACGGAGAGAGAGCGATGAGCTATCATGAGGGAGGGAGGGAGGGGAGGCATGGAGGGCAGGGCTTGAGATGGAGAGAAGGGAGGGACGGCGAGGCAGCAGTGAGCACGGGCCGCATTTAACCTCCAGTGGTGTGGAGCGTCTCGATTCGGCAGGACCGAGGCCGGGGCCTCGGGGGCCGGCCCGAGCAAAAGGGAGCGCGACCCGAGGCAACGGCACCCTCATGCGCGAGGAGAGCGGCGTCGAGGTCCTCCACTGGCAGGCCGGGGACGGGCGGGTCAGCACCTGGTCCCGCGAGGGCTGCGTCTACTTCGACGCCCCCCCGGGCGAGCAGGGCATGCCCGAGGTGACGAACGAACAACACACACACACATACCCATAGGGAGGTCGTTGGGAGGAGGACTGGCTATGGGTATGGGTGCGGGTGGTCGGACCCTGGGGAACGCTCCCGCTCGAGCGGGGACCCCCACCCGACAACACGCACCCATAGCCCTCTCCGACCCCTCTGTGGCTATGGGTGTGTGCTGTTGGTTCGCCACGAGGGGGGCATGATGGCCGACCAGCACCAGAGCTGGACGATGCCGATGATCTTCACGCTGGTGCCGAGCGAGGCCCCTGGGGCGCGGCGCGCTCTCAAGCCGCAGCGTCTCGAGCCAGAACGCTGCGTGGCCTCCTCCTCCTCCTCCTCCTCCTCCTCCTCCTCCTCCTCCTCCTCCTCCTCCTCCTCCCTCCTCCCTCCTCCTCCTCCTCCTCCTCCTCCTCCTCCTCCTCCTCCTCCTCCTCCTCCTCCCTCCTCCTGCTGCCAACAGGTGTTGGGCACCCCGCGGCTCGGTTCGATCGGCGCCGGCCCCCCTCGCGGCGCGCGGCTGGCGCAGATCCAGCGAGGAGGGCCGAGCGCAGATCTCCCAGAGAGCTGCGCGGACCCTCGGCAGGCTCGGCTCATGCAGGCCGTCTTCGGTTCCTTTGGGCGTTCACCAGCCTGGAACAGATCCCTATCCCTATGCTGGGCACCTCCTCATCACGATGCCAATCTCAGGGATGCCCTCATTTTTTGAGGGCGGATCCCTAGGATTGTCATCGCCTTTTGGCGTGTCAGTCTTAGGGATAGGGACACGTTCGATGCTGGTAAGGCATGCCGCTCTCAAGCCGTGGAGGCGGGCGCGAGGATGGGCGCGCGCGCGCGTGCGCACGGGAGCACCCGAGAGGGGGGCGCGGAGCGGGACTGGGTCGGAGCGGAAGAAGAGGAGGAGCAGGTGGGCCCGGCAGCTCCGCAGCAGCGCAGGCTGCCGCGAGGGCGTGGCGGCCCTGCGCGAGGCGGGAAGCGGGCTGAGCCTACCACAGCGGTGTGCAGAGCGGTGCGTTGCCAGACACGGACCAAGCTCAGGGCAGTCCCTTGAGAGCCAACGGGTCCGCCACGTCGCGGCTGGCACTCGGCCGAGGAGCAGGAGGAGGAGGGGGAAGAGGGGTTGGGAATCTAGCAAGGTCATGCCGCCTTGACTCCGAGGCTGGGATTTCTGCTTCACCTTCTGCGGAGCCGAGAGGTATGAACCCCCGCTTCGCATGGACGCGGCGGGCGCGTTCGAGGCTTAGTGCACTTGGGCCCGCCAGGCGGGGACCTTCCAGAAGGCCCGGGGCATCTGATCAGGCCTCTTGGAGGTGGAGCTAGGAGGAGGGAGGGGGAGGGAGGAGGAGGAGGGAGGAGGAGGGAGGAGGGATGAGGAGGGAGGAGGAGGGAGGAGGGAGGAGGAGTGAGGAGGAGGAATGAGGAGGAGGAGGAGGAGGAGGAGGGGGAGGAGGAGGACGAGGGAGGAGGAGGGAGGAGGAGGAACTTCTAAGACGCGCAAGGCCGCCCCCCGTCGCGCCACCCTTCCGTGCGCACGGCCAACCAAATCCGACGCGCTCCGATCTGCGGCCGGGGTCGGAGGATGGCGCCGCATCGCCGAGGAATCGGCGAATTTGGCGCGATCCCGAGCCCGATGTCTCCGTCCAGACGTCGCCGGTGCACCGCCGATGCGGTGCGATCCTCCGACCCTCACCCTGACACGTCGATTCGTGAATTGTCCGCTTTCGGTTCTCGAGAGGGCGCCGCGGCCGTCATTTTCCAGGCTTGCGCCCGCCAGGTCTGGACCTTCATGAAACCGCGTTTTTGAAAAGAGGGTTCTGTCCACCCCCTGTTTATGGCTGCATGTCGGGGGCCCCTCCGATGATGGCCATAGTCTAGGCCTCCTGGATGGGGTCGGAGCAGATGGGGTCGGAGGATCGCGCCGCATCGCCGATGCATCGGCCATGCATCGGCGATGCGGCTCGATGCGGAGCCCGATGTTCTTCACGCCTGCGTCGCCGAGGCATCGCCGACGTCGACGATGCATCGCCGGTGCATCGCCGTTACAGCGCCGATGCATCGCCGATGTGCCGGTGATGCGGCGCGAACCTCCGACTCCATCTGCTCCGACCCCATGTGGGAGGCCTCTACATAGGCGGGGAGGTGCGTGCTTTCCACCGGTGTGGGTCTGAGAGCCCCCACCTGGGGTGAGAGTGGGCCTGGGGCGTCCGAAGCCGTTTCGCCCCCCCCCCCCCCTTGCTTGGCCTTATGATGCTCCAACCCATTTTAGCCTTGACCACCAGGAAGAATTTCGAACGCCCAAAAAAGTACCGAAACTCAAGGGCTTTCACGTGTCTGGCCCTGAGAGACACTCGCCCGACACTGTTTCGACACTGTTTCGACACTCTTTAGACACTTTTCTGGGTGCTCGAAATCATTTTTGGGATGTGGCCCTTAAGTAGGATGGGAACAACAGAAGCTTGGCCGTCGTCTCCTCAGCCTTGTTGCCCCGAGCTCGCGAGGATTCAGTCGGGCGTGTCCCTCTAAAGGAGGAATTCTTGAAACGAGTCCAAGAATAAAGGGTGGACGATTTTTCGATTGTTTTTGATAAGGGGGACATGCCCGACCTACCGCGAGGAGCGACGCGTGAGGGCCGATTCCAACAAACATCGGCGCGTGGGGTGGCGCCGTTTCTGGGCAGGCCTCGCCGCCGGTTCCCCTGGCGAGCGTGGTCGGCTCCACCGCCTCCGCCTCCGCCTCCGCCTCCGCCTCCTCCTCCTCCTCCTCCTCCTGCTCCTCCTGCTCCTCCTCCTCCTCCTCCTCCTCCTCCTCCTGCTCTGGGGGTGCTAGCCGCGTCGGCAGAAGCCCTCCTCCTCTGGACCTTCGGCGGCCACGCGCAGAGGGGGTCACGGGGGAGGGGCATGGCTTCTCAGGAGGACCGGGGGAACGTAAGACTCGAGTAAGCTGGAGCTCGGGCTTGCCGACGTTTTGTGTGACGAGCGCATCCTGGATTTTGACGGTCCCGTTTTCGTGTGGTGTTTGCAGCGGGAGCTCGCGTTCAATTTCAGACTGGGCCTCGTCATTCTCATCATGGCCCCGTCAGGCCATCCCGAGTCCCCCGTACCCGAGTCTTGCGTCTCCCCGAGAGGAGGCTGCTTCTTCGAAGGCGCGGGCCTCGACTGCGGACGTAGGGCCGGCGCCCTCCAGGAAGCGGCCCCCTTCTGCGGAGCCTTCCCCCTCCCCCTGCCCCCATGGCGCGCGAGAGCCCGCTCGGGCGATTGAGCCCGCAGAGCGGGGGGCACTGCGGGCCTCCCGGGGGAGGTTTGCCCGCAGGTGCTGCAGAACATCGGTGGGTGTTCGGGATCGTGCCCAGAGGATGGTCTTGCACGAAGGATTGCAAAAAAACCCTGGATTGCAAAAAAACCCTGGGTTGTTTTGCAATCCTGGGTTTTTTTTGCAATCCACCACTCGTTGCAGTGTTCCTTGGGGCCATGTTGGCGGCCCATTGGGGGGTCGGGCGGCATCCAGGGGTCCCCCCCCTGCCCCCGCGTGCGCGCCGCCAGCTTTCAGCAGGGTACGAAGACACACAGACACAATTGTATCGTCGATCCCCAGGAAATGTGGGAAGGTGTATGGGCAATGGGGGGGGGGGGAAGACGGAAAATATGGGAAGCGGGGGGGAAGACACAAACCCAGAACATGTGGGAAAATATGGGAAGCGGGGGAGAAGACACAAACCCAGAATTATAGGAAAGTATTGGGAATCCTCTTGTTTGTGCCTATTCATTCGTGTGCCCCCCGGCCCCTTCAAACTTCGGGGGCGTGGGCCCGCGTGTCGGCACCGCGCGGAGGCGGCGGCGCCCGGCACCGGGGCGGCCGCTGGGGCGCCCCTCGTCGTTCGTCGCTCCCTGCGGCCTCCTCGGGGGGGGGCGACGAGAGCGGGCCCGGTCGGGCAACGTGGGGGGGGTCACCAGCCTCGAACGTATCTCCCTATCCCTAAGATTGACACGCTAAAAGGAGACGTCGATCTTAGGAATACACCCTCAGAAACTGAGGAAATCCCTAAGATCGCCATCGTGATGAGGCGATGCCCAACATAGGGATAGGGATATGTTCCAGGCTGGAAAAGGGGGGGGTACCCAGGAGGGGAAGAGGCACACAGACACACGTCCTCGTCGGTCCCCCAGAATATATATATATATATATATGTGGGAAAGCACGGGCAGTGGGGGAGAAGACAGAAGCCCAGAAGATGTGTGACAACATATGGGGGCACTTTTTTATCTGTGGGCATCTACTCGTGTGCCAGGGCCCCTTCGGGCACTGCCAGAGCTGCTGCCTGCCGTGGATCAGTTTGGCCCGCCGCAGGGCACCTTCCCCTCGATGCCCTGGTGGTGTCCGTGTGCCGGAAGGCGCCGGGGAGACCCGCTGCGCGCAGCTGATTCCCCAGCCTGTCCTTTGCTTCCCCCCCTTCTTTCGCCCCACACAGACACAATGAATAGTCGATTCCCTAGAAACTATGGGAAAATATGGGACTTGGGGGGGATACCAAAAAAGCAAGACAGTATGGGAAAGTATGGGGGATCCTTTTGTTTGTGTGTATTTATTTGTGTGTCCCAGGGTCCCTTCAGATACCACCAACCACAATTCTGCCCCAACGCGTTCTGGTGCTACGAAACAGGTAAGTCGTTTCCTGGGATGCTTCGGCACCACGCTGCAACGCCATCGCGGCGCTCCGCGTGGGTCGCAGTCGCAGTCGCCCCAAGCGCCCCTCCCTCTCCTCCGATCCGAGGCTGGCGTGCCCAGCGGGTCGCAGTCGCAGTCGCGTGAACGGCTCGGGGGTGGACAGAACTTCCAACAGTGACACGTCGATTAGTGAATTGTCCGTTTACGGTTCTCGAGAGGGCGCCGTAGCCGTTATTTTCCAGGCTTGCGCCCGCCAGGTTTGGGCCTCAGGTCGTTTTCACTAAACCACGTTTTACTAAAGGGGGGTCTGTCCATCCCCGAACGGCATGGTCCAGCACAGGGAGAGGCGACAAGCGAAGGGGCGGTTGAGGAAAACTAATAAGCATAAAGGGAAGCGGCACACATGATGGTCGAGGGAACGCGGCGGCATGCCGCTTTCCCCTCGAGATCTCTCTCCCTCTCTGTCTGTCTCTCTCTTTCTCTCTTTCTTTCCTTCTCTCTTTCTCTTTCCGGCTCGGGTCGCAGTCGCAGTCGCCCCTCTGCGCCCTGTCCCCGATCCCAGGCTGGCGCGCCCATGGGCTGGCAGGAGCAGTCCATCAAGGACACGGTTATGGACACGGACTCCGTGCTGGAGGCCATGCAGCTGCCCCGGCCAGCGCTCCCAGTGCTGCCCGAGGCGGAGTCAGCGGAGGCGGGCCGCGACGAAAAGGAGGAGGAGGAGGAGGAGGAAGAGGAGGAGGAAGAGGAGGAGGAGGAGGAGGAGGAAGAGGAGGAGGAGGAAGAGGAGGAAGAGGAGGAGGAGGAAGAGGAGGAGGAGGAGGAGGAGGAGGAGGAGGAGGAAGAAGAGGAGGAGGAAGAGGAGGAGGAGGAAGAGGAGGAGGATCCCGGGAATCGGGTTGAGACGTCCTGGGGTCCACGTTAGCAATCTCGACGTCGGGCGTTCGGGGAGCTCCGGGCCCCAGGAGGCTTCCCAGAAGGCTTCTCGAGATCCGCCCATGGAGAGAAGGGCCAGGGAGAAGACCTCGGACAGGGCTTCTTCGAAGCCGGGGGGGGGCTTGAAGCTCTGTTTATCGCATTCGGTGTCTTGTTCATGTGTGCTCGGTGTTCTGGGTTCACCCTTTCTTGCTTTTCTGGACCTCCTTCTCTCATCTCCCTTGCCCTGATCGCGCACATCGTTGTCAGGCCAAATTCTCGCAAGCTTGATCGTCGCCACTTTCGCACCATAGTGGCGGACCTTTCCGCAGGCAGTTGGGCAGGAAGACGCCACTTATATACATCTACACCGATCCAAGCCAGACCGATCTTCAGTCCAAGACTGGCATCTGCGCCCTCATAGTGGGTTGCCCCGCCTCTGGCCATTTTGTTTTGGGCTTCCAGAGGCCTCCGGGATCTTCGAGAGGTTTCAGGGGAACTCCGTGGGGCCCTCATGAGCCGTCTTGTTGCCGTCTTGGGCCCATCTCGACCGTCGGGGAGATTTCTCGGGGCTGTCTTTGGAGCTGGCTTGCGCCCTCTGGGTCCATAGTAGTAGTAGTAGTAGTAGTAGTAGTAGTGGTAGTAGTAGTAGTAGTAGTAGTAGTAGTAGTAGTAGTAGTAGTAGTAGTAGTAGTAGTAGTAGGAGCAGCAGTAGTAGTAGTAGTAGTAGTAGTAGTCGTAGTAGTAGTAGTAGTCGTCGAAGTCGTAGTCACAATCGTGCCCATAGCCGTAGTAGTAGTAGTAGTAGTAGTAGTAGTTGTAGTAGTAGTAGTAGTAGTAGTAGTAGCAGTAGTCGTAGTAGTAGTAGTAGTAGTAGTAGTAGTAAGTAGTAGGTAGTAGTAGTGTAGTATTCGTAGTATTCGTAGTAGTATAGTAGTAGTAAGTAGTAGTAGTAGTAGTAGTAGTAGTAGGAGTAGCGTAGTATAGTAGTAGTGTCGTAGTTGTAGTCGTAGTCGTAGAAGTGGAAGTATAGTAGTAGTAGTAGTAGTAGTAGTAGTACACGTGTAGTCGTAGTAGTAGTAGAAAGTAGTCGTAGTAGTAGTAGTAAAAGGTAGTGTATAGTAGTAATAGTGGTAAGCAGTAAATTAGTAGTGGTGATGTATAGTATTAGTAAGTATTTAGTAGTATCGTAGTAGTAGTAGTAGTAGTAAGTGGTCGTAGTAGTAGCACTAGTAGTAGTTTGTAGTAGTAGTAGTGAGTAGTAGTATAGCAGTAGTAGTAGAAGTAGAAGTAGAAGTAGAAGTAGTAGTAGTACGACCACTACTACGATTACTAGTACTAGTAGTTGTAGTAGACGTAGTAGTACTACTACTAGTAGCAGTATAGTCGTAGTAGTAGTAGTAGTCGTAGTAGTAGTAGTAGTAGCAGTAGTAGTACCAGTAGTAGTAGTAGTAGTAGTAGTAGTAGTAGTAGTAGTAGTAGTAGTCTTAATCGTAGTCGTAGTAGTAGTAGTACTAGTAGTCGTAGTCGTAGCCGTTGTCGTAGTCGTAGTCGTAGTCGTTGTCGTAGTCGTAGTCGTAGTCGTAGTCGTAGTCGTAGTCGTAGTCGTAGTAGTAGTAGTAGTAGTAGTAGTAGCAGCAGTAGTAGTAGTAGTAGTCGTAGAAGTAGTAGTAGTAGTAGTAGTAGTAGTAGTAGTAGTAGTAGTAGTAGTAATAGTAGTAACTTTAGTAGTAGTATCAGTAGTAGTCCTAGTAGTAGTAGTAGCAGTAGTAGGAGTAGTCGTAGTAGTAGTAGTAGTAGTAGTAGTAGGAGGAGTAGTAGTAGTAGTAGTAGTAGTAGTAGTGGTAGTAGTAGTAGTAGTAGTGGTAGTAGTAGTAGTAGTGGTAGCAGTAGTAGCAGTCGTAGCAGTCCAGTATAGTAGTAGTTAGTATAAGTAGTATAGTAGTAGTGTAGTCGTATCGTAGGAGAGGAATAGTAAGCAGTAGCAGTAGTAGTAGTCAGTAGGAGTGGGAGTAATTAGCAGCCGTAGCGTAGTAGTCGTAGTAGTAGTAGTAGTAGTAGTAGTCGTAGTAGTAGTAATTAGTAGTAGTAGTAGTAGTTTTGTAGTAGTAGTAGTCGTAGTCGTAGTCGTAGTAGTAGTCGTAGTAGTAGTAGTAAGTAGTAGTAGTATAGTAGTAGTAGTAGTAGTAGTAGTAGTCGTAGTAGTAGTAGTAGTAGTAGTAGTAGTGTAGTAGTATAGTAGTAGTAGTAGTAGTAGTAGTAGTAGTAGTCGTCGTCATCGTCGTCGTCGTAGGTGGAGGAGGAGGCTGAGGAGGAGGAGGAGGAGGAGGAGGAGGAGGATAGGTTCAACGATACGGATCCTCAAATCACGTGCTTCTCCGAGGCCTTCTTGGCACCATCTGGTGTCGAGCGGCCCGGGAAGCGGAGTGGTTCAGACATTCCACCACGAGAGGAGGAATCCCATTGATGTCGAATGAGCTTGGCGGTCCTGGAGGGCCTCTTGGTCTGCTCCATCGTGTTCTTGGCTCCCTTTGGCGCCATTTTGGAGTATGACTGGGGACTGTTGGGCACCTCTTGAGGCAAGGTTTGGCTATCTTGGCTGCGTTGGTGGCTTTCATGGACCGTCTTGGGAGCCTCGGAGTGCTGTGGAGAGCGCCTTAGAGGCCTCGGAGCGACCAGGGACACTGTGGAGGGTGGCGATGCATGCAGGCACGTGGTGGTAGGCGGAGGAGGGGGGCCCTTCTACCACGCCTCAACGTGGCAACAAATAGAAAAACAAAAAGCTCTTTACGCCTCTACGTTAATCTCCACGTAGATAGAGAAAATGGCATTCTACCACGCCTCAACGTATCAAGCAGCATTGTGGTGGATCTATCCTCCTCCTTCTCCCCCTCCTCCCATTCCAGCATCCACTTCGATCCGATCGATATGATCAGATGTCGATTCCGCTCGGGCCAGTCCGAGGCGACTCCGCGGTTCCCACGATCTTGCTGCGGCCCGATCCGAGGCACGCTTGTGTCCGATTCGACTTTTCCCGATCCGGTGCTAAACGATCCTGCCTGCTCCCCCTATGCGAGGGCACCACCATGAGGGCCTCCGCGCCGGAGTTCGTTCCCACCACGTTCGCCGCCGCGCGGGCGTCACTGGGACAGGCGGCCGAGGCAGCCCGGGGAGGAGGAGGAGGAGGAGGAGGAGGAGGAGGAGGAGGAGGCAGAGTAGAAGGATCCAGGGATCCGGAGCCGGAGCAGTGGCATGCCGGGATCCCCCCCTCCCACCCCAGGGTCTTCCTCGTTGCCGTGCAGCCGTCGAAGTGCCTCTCTGTCCCTCCGAACCGACTCTGCCTACTTCCTCGCCCTCATCCTCCTTCCTCCCGCTCGCCCGTCCTGCTCCGGGGGAGGGGGGTATGCTGTTTCCAACTCCTTTCTTTCTCCTTCTAGAGAACTCCTCCCTGTCTCACCCTGGGGCAAGTTTTTAAAGGCGGGCCGGGCGTTTCGCCTGAGATTCTCTCACGATTTATAATTCTGAAGCTCAAAAAGTGGCAACAGTCTCACTGAAGGATCGGCGAAGCGTCCTGGCGTCCCAATAGGCCTACCAAACAATGTTCTGAGAACCTTTCGTGGTTTCCACGACATGATCTTAGAACATGTCTGGCTGGGACTGCTTTGTTTTAGCACATCGGGGATATGTTGTAAGAACATTGTTGTTGTGATTAGAACATTTCTGAATTCGAATTCTAAGAAATCTCGTGGTAGGCCTACAGAAATGCTGGGACGGTCGGTGCCTGCTCAATTCACAGATGGAGGGCGGGTCGCTTTCAAAATGTGGCTCTCGCCGTAGCGCGGCGCACATTCGCTTTAACAAGTTGCAAGAGCTTCACGGATTCAGGGCGTGTGGTTTTCAAAATGTGGTTTCTCGCCTCAGCGCCGCGCACATTCGCTCTTAAACATTGCAAGAGTTTCACGGATTGAGGGCGGGTGGTTTTCAAAATGTGGTTCTCGCCTTAGCGCCGCGCACCATCGTTCTCAACATTTGCAAGATTCGCGAGCGCGGTCTGCGGGGCGCGAAGGCCGCTGCCGAGGCCAAGAGCATTTGGGACATGCAGACCTCGCGCAGTGCCGCGCCAAGACCTTCTGGCCGCGCTGCCTGTCTGGCACCTGCGCGCCCCCTTGGCCTCGCGCTAGTTCGCGGGGCGGACTGGGGGCCTGCCGCAAAGCGCGGGGCATGTCTACCAAGCCCATGGCCGGGCGAATTGTCCAGCTTGCGCGGCAAGAGTGGAGTGGCGCGATGGGGGTCGGCAGTGCCGTCCGTTCTCGTCGGAACATCCCTGCGCCCAGCCTTTCCGCGGGCCCCGGCAAATGGCGCCCGATTAGCGAAGGCCAGAAAGGGTCAGGAGTTTCAGTTCTCGACGCTTCGCGTGTCCCCGCCAGTCCATCCAGAAACGCATCGCCAGGCGAGCTGCCCTGATCAGGGAAGTGTAGGAGCAGGCAGTGTAGCCGCCGTCTTAGAAGTGCTCTCTCGGCGGTCTCCTGCGGCCGTCTTGGGTCTCCTGGGGTCCTCGCGGAGCCACTTGGGGCACTCTCGGGGCCCTCTTGGGGCCCCCGGTGGGGGTCTCGGGGGCCTTCTTGGTGCCGTGCCGTCTTGGGCCCCGTGGCTCAGACAGACGGGCGGGGCCCTCCATGCAGCTCCCCCTGCCCATGGGAGGGCCAGCAAAAATCGCATTGAGGCCTTCTTTGGGCGCTCGCGGGGGCTCTTGGGCCCCCCTGGGCCCTCTCGGGCCCCCGTCGGGGCTCTCCCAGGCAGTCTCGGGGCATTCGAGGCCTCGGGAGCCCGTCGGGAGCGAAAATGCGAGAAGGCACAACGCATTGGTTTTTTCCGGGCTGTTGAAGGATTTCGGCTTGAAGGGAGGGGCGGTCGAGGATTCGGGGGGCACTTGGAACCGCCTTGGGTCCGTCTTGAGGCTTCTCCGACGCGCGCCAGAGGCCGCGTTGAACCATTTTGAGGTATCTTGAGCCATCTTGGAGGCCATCTTGGGCTCCGGGAGGCCCGTTCGGAGCCATCTTGGGCCATCTCGGGCGCTCTCCCCCCGTCCCAATTGGGGGGGCGGGGGGAGGGGCGGACTCCTCCCCCAAGCCGGGGGGGAGAGGTTCTGGCAGAGAGCAGACGATGAACCACATGCGCCCAGAAGGCCCGGTGGGATTTTCGGGCTCCGTGGACGGAGCGGCCCTTCCGGCGCGCTAGAGCCGCAACGCCGACAATCATTTCGTTTAGGCCCCGCCGCAGCGCTGCGCCGCCTTCGCGCGGGCGGGGGAGGGAGGGAGGGAGGGAGGGAGGGAGGGAGGGAGGGAGGGAGGGAGGGAGGAGGAGGAGGAGGAGGAGGAGGAGGAGGAGGAGGAGGAGGAGGAGGAGGAGGAGGAGGACGAGGAGGACGAGGAGGACGAGGAGGACGGACGCGGGAAACGCGGCGTCTCTGGCTGCGGGTCAAAAGCCTGGGCCGCGGGGCGACGGCTGGCGCGCGGGCGGCAGAGGTTCGCTGTGGCGTGCGCCCGCGGCGAGATCATATGGGCCCGCGCCGCGCCGATGCGGACTGCCGGGTAAGATTATGTCGGGCCTGTCCCCCTACAGGGGGGTCTTCGGCGAAACATAAAAGATACAAAAACACACCAAAACAGTAAAAAGAACTCTAAGATAATCCACAGATTACTTTTGGATTATTTGTTGATTATTGTTGGGGTATCCTTTATTTTCCGTCGAAAATCCCCCTGTAGGAGGACAGGCCCGACTTTAGGGTAAGATCAAGAGCCAGGGTCTTCTGAGTGGGGCGCCTGCGCGCGTTGGATCGCAGTGCGCGCCGCCGCGGAGAGTGATCCCACACCCTCGGCCCAGCGGCTGCAGCGACCTCGCTCGGCGGGAACCCCGGCCGACAGCGGAGTGCAGATTGCCGCTATGACCCCCCCTGGCATGGCCTGGATTCAGCGGGGGTCGCAAGAAGGAAGCTTCATCCTCGTAATCTGAGCAGCAATTTGCGTGTTAAGCGCTCTACGAGGGTCCCGGCAGTAACCTGGTTGACGGTTTACCGCCGGCTCCCACTACCTCGTAGAGCTCTTCGGCATCGACGAGCTAGAGGAATTCCGGCGCTGGGCGGAGCTAGTTGGTCCACCCGGACCGGACGGACAATGTGTGAAGTTTGGGTCGGTTGGGCGAACATTGTGCGAGATTTGACCGTTCGTGGCCGGCCGAGATGCCGGGCCCCATGGATTGGGCGCCGCGTAATGGGGGGGTCATAAATGGGGGGGCGGCGAGCGTGGTCCGAAAAGGTACCCAAACGGTACCTAAACGAGCCCCCTGGGGCTCTGGAGGGGCCCGAAAGGGGCACGAAAGGGGACCTTTCCTGACCCCCCCATTTGTGACCCCCCCATTAAGCCACGCCCAAGTGGAACTCTTCGCGGCCGCCAGCGCGGCGGCGGCCCAGAGTTCGGCCGGGCTCCCCGCGCGCCCGCTCGCCCGTGGCGGCGGCGCGGGCAGGAGCGCTGCAGGCCGACGGCGCGGCGCGGATGGGCGCGCGCATCGGCGGCGATGGGCTCGGCGATCGGTCGGGCGATGCGCGATTGGCTGAAGCAGCCTCTTGCATTAAGTCGGGCCTGGCCCCCCCCCCCCCTACAGGGGGACTTGCGACGAGAAATGAGCATACCCCCAAAATAGTCAAAAAATGATACAACAGTTGTCTGCGGACTATTGTTTCAGTATTTTGTGACCTTTTTGGAGTATTTGTTTCTGTTTTTCGTCGACGGTCCCCCTGTAGGGGGACACGCCCGCCATAACTCTTGTAGGCCCGAGCGCCCCGGCGCCATCGTTTGGATTGCGCGTTTGCGAGAGCACGCTCGCACGCAGTCTGCCTGGGTTGCTCCTGACCCCATCTCTCATCGGCGATTGTATTAAGTCGGGCCTGTCCCCCCCCCCTACAGGGGGACTTTCGACGAAAAATGAAAGTACCCCCCAAATAGTAAAAAGATAATGCAACAATTGTCTGAGGACTATTGTTTTAGTATGTTGTGACCTTTTTGGAGTATTTTGGGGGCATTTTTTATTTTTCGTCGACAATCCCCCTGTAGGGGGACACGCCCGCCATAACTCTTGTAGGCCCGAGCGCCCCGGCGCCATTGTTTGGATTGCGCGTTTGCGAGAGCACGCTCGCACGCAGTCTGCCTGGGTTGCTCCTGGACCCCATCTTGTATTGGCGATGACGATGGACACGATGAGGAGGGCGTTGATGGTGACGATGATGGCGATGGCGCCGATGGCGATGATGATGGCGATGATGGCGATGATGATGTAGATGATGATGGTGATGATGATGATGATGATGATGACGATTACGCCCGTGCTTCTGATGGATTGCGATGTGCGAATGGCTTGGCCACCGAGCGCCATGGGGCACCGATCGAGACACCTGCCGCAAAACATCTCGCGCCACCGACCACCTGCTCCGGCGATCTGGGGAATTGGATGGCTCAGTCGCCTGGCATCGCTCGGACGTGTGCATTTTTTCTTCGGCGAGGACCACCGAGGAGCATCCTTGATCATTTGGCGAAACAACCACGCACGAAACTGAACAAAAACACAGGGAATGGACGTCCGAGCGACGGCAAGGTCGAGGTCTCTCCACGCGCCCGCCTCACGGGCGCCATCGCGGGCGCCCCGCGCGTCGGGCTTTTGTCGGGCCTGTGCCGCGCAGCCGCCCGCGGGCGCCCTGTACCGTCGGGGCCTGAAGAAGGAACCCTTTTCGTTGGGGAGGGGCTCCGCGTTCCTGCAGTGTTTCGCAGCTTGCCTCAGGTTTCCCTTTTTGTCTTCGATCGGAAATCGAAATTTTTCACTTCTGGAAAAAAAAGGGGGCCTCGTTCCTTATCTAGGGTTCCTCAGGTCAACGCGCCGACTGCATGTGCCCCGCGCGCGTTGGGCAGGTCTGCCGAGGGCTCGCCGCGCGGCCGCCCGTGGCCCCCGCGCGGGCGCGCCGTCTGCTGGACACGAGCCTGTCGGGGCCTCGCCGCGCCTCGCCGCCCGCGGCCGCCTCCCGGGCGCCCCGCGGGCGGCGGCGCGGTCGGCGCTGCCGAGCTTGCACCGTGCTGTGTGCGCCGAGCAGACCGCGTCGCGCAGCTTGCATTAAGTCGGGCCTGTCCCCTACAGGAGGACGTTCGACGAAAAATAAAAAAATAATTCACAAATTGACAAGAAATTGTCCAAACATCGTATGGGGACTTTTTGAAGTGTGTTTCTTGACCCTTTTGGAGCATTTGTGGGGTAACCTGTTTTTCCGTCGAAAATCCCCCTGTAGGGGGACAGGCCCGTCTTAAAGCTTGCACCGCGCAGCTTGCCACGCGCCTCGCGCAGCCTGGCCTGCAAACCGCGCGTGCGGCGCCACGTCCACTTTGTCCTTTCCAGAAAGGTCATGTAATCAGAGCGTGAATTACCTCCCCCGCTTTCGCTTCCAGGCAAAACCAAGCCATACCACGCGCCTCCTCGTCAAGCGGCCTGACCAGTACAGGCCGCAATTTGGTATCGTTTGGTATCTCTTGGAAGCGAGGGTGGTCAAAAGCGAGGTAAGTTTGTTTTCCCCCGATGTAATGCATACTGCCCCCCCCCCACCCAGAAAGGTCCTGAAATCCACTTCCCCCCCACCCCACCGCCCCGGACGTAGCGGTATCCGTGCTCGTGTATTGCAATGCGTGTAGGATTCTGCCCTGTCGCCCATTCGTGCCGCCCCAGGCAGGCCGGCATCGCCCCCCCCCCCATCCCCCTCCTCATGCTCTGCAACGCATGCTGAGCACGCGAACAATAATCCCTTGCAACAGGAAGACGGAGCGAAATGCGCGCGCGCGTCAGCGCCCGCGCGTGCCGAAGTCTTCGCAAACCTTTGGTCTCCTAAACCACTGGTCTCCTAAGGATGTCAAAACCGACTGCCCCGCAAACATAAAACATTGGTTTTGCAACGAGAATCTCAACAACAAAATTACGCCCGCGACCTCGTAAATTCTTATAAGCCATGTTCTTTCAACGTGTTCACAACATGCTACTCAACGGGCCTCTTGCGCGCGCATGTTGAAATCGTTCGAACGCCCTTGCGCGAGTGCTGTCACAAGAATCCTTTGCAAAAGCAACGGACGAAGTGCACGCATGCGTCGTCGCGCGCGCATGCCGAAATCCCTGGCGCACGTTACGTGTTCGCAGGGATTGCGCCGCATGCCGAAATCATTCGAACGCCCTTGCGCGTGTGCGGGCGGGGGCACGATCCGTGTCAAAGAATGCCATGCGAGCCACTCGCGCGTCGGCCGGGCGCGCATGTCGAACTCTTTCCAAAACCTTCATCACCGACGCGACGACGCGGTCATCGTTGCGGCGTGATCAGCATCGTCGTCACTGGCTTTGCCGTCGTCACCCTCGTCACCAGCATCGCTACCGTCGTCATCGTGTCTGCCGTTGTCTTCGTTGCCATGGTACCGCGCCCGTCCAAGTCGCCGACTCGCGCTGAGGTGCCCGCTGGGAAGTGCCCGTCGGCCAGCGCCTCCGCGGCCGCGTCGGCTGCGCCAGATTGGTTGGCCGCTGCGTGCGCGAGCCTGCGCGGGCCAGCGCGGCCGCATCCGTCGGCCAGCCAGCGCCGAGCAGACATCGCAACCGCCGCCGCATGGTTTTGCAAACCCAGCTGCGGGTGGGCGGGTGGGAAGGCTGCGCGAGCAGTGGTGTTGACATCCTCGTGTTCGGCAGGGTGAGTCCAGCCGCAGAGATTGCGCCACACTGCTTGCACCGCCCAGCTTGCGCCAGATGGTGGCCGCCGGTCCGCGACCCGTTGGCGCCCCGTCGGCGTCCCGCACAGATTGCACTACAAAGCGAACGCCGCACGTGGCGCACCACGAATAACACCAGATGGCCCACACCACGTAGCCTACACATCGCACGTCGCACCACGCAGGTGGACCCGCACAGTTCACACAACATAGAGCGCATGACGTATTGTTTGCCACGTGAGAAAATCCGCGACGCAGAAGCTCACGCTTGGTCTCAAGATTGGCAGGTCGTGAAACAATGAGAAAGAAGGGCGCGTAAAATGAAGAGGGAGGGGGAATAGGCAGGTCATGGAGGCGTGGCAGAAAAGGATGATACTGGATAATTTGCAGCGTTTCAGTGGAAGAAGAGGGAGGAAGGAGGAAAAGGGATGATGCTGTGAGCAGAGAGCAGAGAAGGAGGGATGCGAAGGAGGAGGGTGGGGGAGGGGAGGCGAACATGAATTGGCATGTGTTGTTGCAGTGCGCCCGCGAGGTTTCCGACGCCGCGAGCTCCGACGGCGACGGTGCCTCGAGCCTCATACAAGACGCTCCCTCTCAGGGGGGCCCTCATCTTTGGAAGGGGGCGATGCTAACATGATATGCTCAGCGCGACCCGGATATGCAGCAACGTTTTTCGATATCTGTATATACCTGTGTATATATATATGTATATATTGATGTGTGTATCCAAGGTGTCCGAGAGAAAGGACAAGAGAGATAGGGAAAGAGACAGAGAGAGCGGACAGCGGCTCCTTTCGTTTTGAGCTGAGCACGCACTCCAGGACCATAGGCAGGCAATCGGGTGCTGGCGCATACCTGCAGAGTGGCTTGCGCGCCTGAGCGACAGTGTTTGAGGGGAGGAATGAGAAAGGACGCAAGAGGACGGATGAGGAGATTAGAAGTAGAGGCCGTGCTTCATTTCAGAATTGGCCACGGCCATCCCACGTAGGTGAACCGCCGTTGACCCCAAGCTGAATGTCCTTCAGCTCATCCTCTGCACCGTGTGTGCACCATACCCATTGCTGTGCCGGGCATCCACGTCATACCAGATCCTTCTCCATTAGCGGGCGGATGTTTCCTCGGTCTTAGTCGCATGGCCTTTTTGGTACCCTCCTCCGTCGCCAGAGCCCGAGGCCGCACCCGAGCTGCACGCCGATCCGGCACAGCATGGACGCCAGTCTTCATATTGCAGTTGCTGGCAATGCCGCGGGACAGCCCCCCCGACGAGCCAAGAGGCACCCCGTGCAGTGTGCGAAACTCCGCTGGAATGCAGCCCTTGGCGCGATGGCGAGGCGCATTTTGCTCGAAAGCCATGCTTGGCGAACGAGCTCGGCGAACGAGGCGGTCCGCTCAACGTCGCTGCTGCCGCCAGAGGCAGCGAACTTGCCTCGGCGACAACGCTGAGCTGCTGCACACGGGCACGACGAACAGAGGCCACCGCGAGGGGCCTCCGAGGGGCTGTCCGCGTGCCGCGTCCAGTCGGTCGCGAGCGGCAGCAGCGGCGGGGTCTCGCCAGCGCGGCTCCGCGAGCCGCGGCGCCCTGGCGTCCAGCGCGGTTGCGGCCTGGCTCGGCTGGGGCACCCGCCGATGGGCGGGGAGGGCCACCGACGGCCGCTGGGCCCGGCGGGGGCGGCCGACCTTCGGGGCCGCTGCTTCGCAGGCGCGGCGATCCCCGCGCGGAGCGCGAGCCTGGGGTGGTGCACACCTTCCCGAGTCGTGCTCCGCGAGTCGTGCTCCTGCGAGTTGGCTTGGCATCGCTCGGACGTGTGCATTTTTTCTTCGGCGAGGACCATCGAGGAGCATCCTTGATCATTTGCCGAACAAAAACACGCACGGAACCAACAAACAATGGGGAATGGACGTCCGAGCGATGGCGAGGGCTCACACCTTCCGCGCCTGAGGGGGGGAGGGGGGCCCGATGCCGCAGTCCCTCCCTGGGAGCCCTGCGGCCACCGCGGTGGGCCAGGGCCCCGCCAGTGGGAGTTGGGGTCGGGCCTCGGCTGGGTAGAGGCCCTTGGGCCCCCCTCCGCCCTTTCATCGGCCGTTCGGAGTGCTCCCCCGCGGCCTTCGGCCGGCCTCGGGTCGGCCGGGCAGGGCTCGGCGGCGGCCTCCGAGCAGAGAGGGGCTCCGAGCGGCATCCCGCGCATGCCTTCGGGCTCCAGCTTGCGCCCCCCCCCCCCCCCCCCGGGGGTGGGCCTCCACGGCGAGGGCCTCCCCCGTGCCCGCGTGGACCTGCCTCCTCCCGCCGCGGGCGGGGCCGGCGGGAGCTCCGCTCCGGGCGGGCCGGGGCGCCCCGGCCGCGAGAGGGCCCTCGGGGGGAGGGGCATAACAGGGCTCCGAGGCGGCGCCCCGCTGCCCTGCGCACCGCGGGCGGCGCGCGGCGCGCCTCGCCCCTGCGGCGCGGGCGGGGGCGGCGGTGCCACCCGCGTCGGGGCAGAGGAGGAGGAGGAGGAGGAGGAGGAGGAGGAGGAGGAGGGGAGGAGGAGGAGGAGGAGGAGGAGGAGGGAGGAGGAGGAGGAGGAGGAGGAGGAGGGAGGAGGAGGAGGGAGGAGCGAGGTGGGCGGCGCCAGAGAAAGGGGGCCGCCCGCGCCGCGGCACCGGCGCGCGGGCGGCCCGCAGAAGGGCGCGCGAGGGGGCGCCCGCGTCTCCGATGCCGCGTGCCGCGCTGGCGAGGAGGAGGAGGAGGAGGAGGAGGAGGAGGAGGAGGAGGAGGAGGAGGAGGAGGAGGAGGAGGAGGAGTTGGAGGAGTTGGAGGAGGAGGAGGAGGAGGACCCGCGTAAGCCGCCGCGTGAGGCCGCTGCGGCAGCTCGCGTAAGGCCTGTTTCGGGTCGTCGGTCCGGTGAGGCTGGCCTCCCCCCTTTTGAACTTCGACCCCCGATCCGGCTCATCAGTTCGATTCTGGGCTCTTCTGCCCTCGCCTCAGTTTCACCCCTTTGGATCCTCCTGGGAGGCCATCGTCGCCACCGCTGGATTCGCCTCGAAGGGCGATGCGGGCCCCCCCTTTGCCTGCTCGGGCGGGCGGGCCCCTCCAGCGGGGAGGGCAAGAGGGAGGGCGCCCATGCCGAGGAAGGGGCCCACGGGAGCGGCCTCCGACGCTCGCATCGTCCGGGTGGGGTCCTGGGATTTTCGCCTCCTCGCCTCCGGTGCTCTTTCCCCCCCCCCCCCCCTCTCGGCGTCTCAGTCTTATCGCTCATGTGGGAGCATCAAGTTCCTGGGAGTGGCAAAGGGCCCTTCGCAGCGCGCAGGGCTCCCGGAAGCGCCGCCCGTAAGAGAGGCACGACCGTCATCCCCTGCCCCTCGTCTGCCGCCTTCGCACCGCTATTTGGGCCCATCGAGGATACGAATGAAAAACCTAAGCACGCGATTAGTAGCGATGCAGCAGAAATGAGCAAGAAGAGGAATCACTGCAAGAACAAACAAGGAGCAGCAGGCGGAGGAGGCGGACAATAAGGAGGAGGATAATAATAATAATAATAAGGAGGAGGAGGTTGAAGAGGTGGAGGAGGAGGATGAGGAGGAGGGTAATCGTTAGGATAATCTTTCATAGCCATTGAGTTGAAACCTGGATCGGGGGCGGCTCCCAGGCGCCGCGAACTCCGCGCCGTCCACCGGCGTGCCGGTGACGCCGCAGCAGCGCTACGCGAGGACCCTGCGCCCCCCGGGCGCACTGGCCCGGGCACCGGCCGGCGCGGATCAAGCCGGCGGTTTTGCCAGAGTCGGGGAAGCGTAAGACTCGAGTACGCCGGGGCTCGGGTTCGTCGACGTTTTTTGACGAGCGCGTCCTGAATTTTGCCGGTCCAGTTCTCGTGGGATGTCTGCGGCGGGAGCTCGCGTCAAATTTCCGATTGGGTCTCGTCATTTTCATGGATGGCCCCGTCAGGCCAACCCGAGTCCCCCGAGCCCGAGTCGTGCGTCTCCCTGGCAGAGGTGCTCCATGCAGGCGGGGGGCCGGCCAGATCTCCGGGGGCGGAAGAGAGGGGGGTGATGACTAGGGGGGTGGATCATCATGGCGGGGGCCATGAGGTTTCCCCAGATGTCAGGGCGCCTCTTCTTATTTCGTTGCGTCCCTGGCCCCCCCCGCTGTGGGCCGCGCACATGCCGCCGGTCATGATTTGCGCCCCCCCCTCTTGGACATCCCCCTCCTGGCCGCTGCCGAGATCTGGATCTTGCAGGATCCTGCAGAGCCAAGGGCTCCAGGCCTCCTAGATGGGGTCAGAGTAGACGGGGGCGGAGGATCGCGCCGCATCGCCGAGGCAGCGACGGTGCGGCCCGATGCGGAGCCCGCTTTTCTCCACGCCGACGTCGCGGATGCATCGCCGACGTCGCCGGTGCATGGCCGATGCATCGCCGAGGCATCGGCGATGCATCGCCGATAGATCGGCGATGTTGCGACAACTTCCGACCCCATCTATTCGGACCCCATCTAAGAGGCATCGAAAGGCGCAGTGACTCGGGCTTGGCAGGATCCTGCAACGACAGGCTGTCCCCGGTCTGGCCTGACCCGGGTCAGCAGGTCCCCGTTCCTGGCCCGAGGTCTCTCGAGTGTTTCTCAAGAGGGAACAAAAACACACAGACACGGTTAATCGACGATCCCCAGGAAAATATAGGAAAATATGGGAAGTGGGGGGGAAGACAGAAACCCAGAAAATATGCAAAACATATGGGTGATCATTTGATTTGTGTGTATTTATTTTTGTGTCCTGGGGCCCCTTCAGTTTCGCGCAATCAGCCTCCACAGGGTTTGTCTTGTCCGCTGAGGGAACAGCAGATCTCTCTGGTCCGCTGCCGTCCTGCGAGGCCGAATTGGTCAGGGTGCGGCCAGACCGCCTTGTGCCGGTCGACTCGTGGAGGCCGTCTTGCGACGTGCAGAAGACAACCGTTCAGGTTTGGGGTGCAGCGTCGCCCTGAAAAAAGAAAGCTCCCCCTCTCGCTCAATCTTGGAGCCCCATGGACCCTCTGGGCCTCACGGGGGGTGCTTAGAGGCCATCTGGGCCTTCCTGGACTCCTCGGGGACACCCGAGGAAGAGGAGGATGAGGAGGCGGAGGAGGAGGAGGAGGAGGAGGAGGAGAAGGAGGAGGAAGAGAAAGAAGAGGAGGAGGAGGAGGAGGAGGAGGAGGAGGAGGAGGACGACGAGAATACGAGGAGGAGAAGCGGGGGAGGAGGAGAGGAGGAGGAGGAGGAGGAGGACGACGAGAAGTACGAGGAGGAGAAGCGGGAGGAGGAGGAGGAGGAGGAGGAGGAGGAATAGAAGGCATTGAGCCAGGGACACCTTCCTGGCAACACCCGAACATGTCGCCTCAGAGCGTTCCCTAGGTCCCCCCCCCCCCTGGGGGCGCGTAGGTGACCGCGCGTCGCGCGCCGCAGCACGGGGCAGAGAGCTGCCCCTGCCCCCAGGATGTCAGTGCGAAGGCGCGAAGGCGACCTCGCCTCGCGATTCCCTCCTCCCTCCTCCCTCCTCCCGTCCTCCTCCTTCTCCCTCCCCCCTCCTCCGCCTCCCTCCTCCTCCCTCCGCCTCCTCCGCCTCCCTCCTCCCTCCTCCTCCTCCTCCTCCTCCCCCTCCCTCCTCCTCCTCCTCTCCTCCTCCTCCTCCTCCTCCTCCCTCCTCCTCCTCCTCCCCTCCTCCCCTCCCTCCTCCCCTCCTCTCCTCCTCCACCTCCTCCTCCTCCTCCTCCTTCTCCACCTCCTCTCCCTCCTCCTCTCCTCCTCCCCCTCCTCCCCCTCCTCCTCCACCTCCTCTCCTCCTCCTTCTCCACCTCCTCCTCCTCCTCCTCCTCCTCCTCCCTCCTCCTCCTCCTCCTCCTCCCCCTCCTCCTCCCCCTCCTCCTCCTCATCTTCCTTCTCCTGCCTCCTCATCGTCCTCCTCCCCCTCCTCCTCCTCCTCCTCCGCCTCTCCTCCCTCCTCCTGCTCCTCCTCCTCCTCCTCCTCCTCCTCCTCCTCCTCCTATGGCGCCTAGAAGTTATCGCGGCGGCCGGTGTGTCGTCAGTTTTTGTATCTGGAGGCTGATCTCGGACATCGGCGTCGTCAAGAAACGGTTCGGGATGTCACTGCCCGGGAAACATTGAGGAGCAACCACAGCGGAGAGCAGCAATACTACGCCTCGCAATTCTATGTCTTGGCCGCGCGAATTTTGAGGCACTGTGCGCCGCGCGTCAAGAAACAGCGAGCGATGAGCGCGCAAAGCGTGGCGACGCGTTGGGCGGCGATGCAACGGTGGGCACGGGCCACTGCGCAAGAATGGGGAATCGCGTGTGCCCCAAGTCTGCGAAAGCGGACTTTCAGACGTTCCCAAGACGGCTCCTTGGATCGCGAAATCATTCTGTGCTAAAATCAGTCTGTCCCAACCATCCTGTGTTGGGTTCTTGTTTTGAATCGAGCACTGCGGTCGCACATCTCCTCTTTAACCCCCCTCCTCTTCCCCCCCTCCTACCTCCAGCTGCGCTGCTCAATGGGCGGCTGCGAGCTATGCAACTGTCGCCACTTTCGTGGGCAGTCAAGGGTCAAGGGGTAAAGGGACCATTTGAGACCTGGCAGCTCCCTGGGTGGCTGCGAAATGTTAAACCGTCGCCACTTTCGTCTGCTCCTTGGAGGCACGGCGGAGCCGGGGAGTAAATGGACCATTTGAGACCTGGCAGCTCCCTGAGTGGCCACGAACTGCACGACCATCGCCACTCTCGTGGGTTCCTGGGAGGCACGGCGGAGTCGGGGAGTAAACGGCCCATTGGCGACTTCGCAGCTCCCCAGGTTGCTGCGAACTGTGCAACTATCGCCACTTTCGTGGGCTCTTGAGAGGCACGGCGGAGCTTGGGAGTAAACGGACCATGTGAGACCTCGCAGCTCCCCGAGTGGTTGCGAACTGTGCAGCTGTCGCCACTCTCGTGGGCTCTTGGGCGGCACGGCGGAGCCAAGGGGTAAACGGACCCATCTTGAAACCTCGCAGCTCCCTTGTTAGCTGCGGACTGCGCAACTATCGCCATTTTCGTGGGCTCGTGGGAGGCACGGCGGAGTCGGGGAGCAAATGGACCATTTGAGACCTCGCAGCTCCCAGGGTGGCTGCGAATTGCGCAACTACCGCCACTTTCGTTGGCTCCTGGAAGGTCCTGCGGAGTCGGGAACCACGCGCACCCAGACGAGACATCCCTGTTTCTTTGGTGGCTGCGAACTGCGCAACTGACACCACTTTCGTTGGCTCCTGGGAGGTCCACTGGAGTCGGGGGCCACGCGCACCCATTTGAGACCTCGCTGCTCCCTGGGGTGCTGCGAACTGTGCAACCGTCGCCACTGTTGTGGGCAACCAGGAGGTCCAGCGGAGTCGGGGGCCACGCGCACCCATTTGAGACCTCGTTGCTGCTTGGAATGCGGCGAATTGCGCACTTGTTGACTCTTTCGTTGGCTCCTGGGAGGTCCAGCGGAGTCGGGGGCCACGCGGGTCTTGCCCATGCCTCGCTTCTCCCGGGGATGCTGCGAAGTCCGCAAGTGTCGCCACTGGAGTAGGCTCCTGGCAGGCACGGCGGAGGTGAGGGCAGCGCAGAACGTATTTTGGTGAGGTGTTCTTTCGTATGGACGTTCAGGCAAAGATTCGCCTCGCGCGGAGAAGGGGTTGGGCACGAGTAATTTGCTTCTTGAAGCAGTGCGGGCCCACGGGTGCGCAACACATGGTTTTCCGTGTGACCGGTGTGCCCAGTGCGCTTTGCATGCTTGGCGCGCCCGCGGTGCCCCCTCGCCAGGGCCACGTTCTTTCGTCCCAGATGATGAGCTGGCCCTGGGGAGGGGCTCGGGAGGCCCCAGGGCCCGCGCCTAGGATCCAGCCCTCTACAGGAGGAATCTTCAAAAATAGTTTAGAAAATAGGATGGAGACGATTTTTCAACGATTTTTCGATCATGGTGGAGGTATTGTTTGAGTATTTCTCATTTGTCGCCCAGAATCCGCCTGTAGGGGGACATGCCCGACCTAATCCTCGCCCTCGCCTTCATCTAGGCCTCCTAGATGGGGTCCGGGCAGCCTGGGTCGGGGGATCGCGCCGCATCGCCGTTGCATCGACGACGCGGCTCGGTGCGGAGACCGTGTTTCCCCACGCCGACGTCGCCGACGCACCGCCGATGCATCGCCGATGCATTGGCGCTGCGGCGCGATCCGTCGACCCCGTCTGCTCCGACCCCATCTGGGAGGCCTCTTGGGTAGGTCCCAGGGCCCGCACCCGGAAGAGATCAAGGCGCCTCGTGGCCTTCGCTGGGAGCGTGATTTTCGCCTCGTTGGGGGGGCGTCTCCCTCCTCCCCCTCCTCCTCCTCCTCCTCTTCCTCCTCCTCCTCCTCCTTCTCCTCCTCCTCCTCCTCCTCCTCCTCCTCCTCCTCCTCCTCCCTCCTCCCCCCCTCACGGGGCCTCGGGCTCCTCGGGGGAGGGGCCCGTTCTTTCTGGGCCTGCGCTCGGGTGGCCGCGCTGCGGCCACGGCCCGGGGTGCAGCTCGTGTGCGGCAGCAGACCCTGGGAGATCGGCATGCAGGGGGGGCCCACGCCACGAAGCACCCTGCTCGCGTCCAGGGTGCCCTGGGGTTCTTGGGTTTCGATGTGTCTGCGATGGGAAGCGCGACGTTCCCGCGCCAATGATCAAGGGACGCCCTGGGGTCTCAGGGTTGGGTTTCTTGTGGAATGCTTCTCGTGGTCGGGCCCCTACTGCGACCCTCTTCTTTTGGTCTTCAGAGTCGACGCGTCGATTGTCGTCTGGGAGTCGATGAGGTAGCGCCGATTTAGCGTCGGTAGCGTCGATGAGGTAGGGCCGACTTGAGCGTCGATGAGGTAGCGCCGATTGAACGTCGGTAGCGCCGATTCAGTGTCGACACGCGTCGATGAGATAGCGCCGGTTTAGCGTCGATCTAGCGTCGATTTAGCGTCGATCTAGCGTCGATCTAGCGTCAATGTAGCGTCAACTGGCGTCGATTCGCAAGAGCCGACAAGCTGGCACGGGAGGCTCCAATTGGTTGCCACCGAACTCGTGGGAGGTTCGGTTCAGCATCGGCGCTGGCATATCTGTGGTCGAAAGCTGGCTTCATCTGGCAGGATCACGCTTGGACGTTGCTGAACTCAGCCACGCGCAGAGGGGGGTGGGGGGTGGGGGGAGGGCTTCTTAGAAGCACCCCTGCTTCTTAGACGGCGCGGGCCGCATCTATAGATGTAAGGCCGGCGCCTTCTAAGAAGCAGCCTGCTTCTGAGAAGCCCTCCCCCCCCCCCCCCCCCACCCCCTTGTGCGCGCCGCCAATGAACCTTGCCGAGTCCTGCTCGATGGGGTCCCAATCCTGGGCTGGATCTGGGCCGATCCGGCGCAGCGCCCACCCACAATCGGGCCGAGTAATTAGCCCCTCGCCGCTCCCGCGCAGAGCCTCCCACTCCACCTCGCCCCCCCCCCCCCACCGACCCTGAGGGCAGGGCGGGGGGGGAGAGAGAGAGGAGAGGAGGAGGAGGAGGAGGAGGAGGAGGAGGAGGAGGAGGAGGAGGAGGAGGAGGAGGAGGAAGGAAGGAGGAGGAGGAGGAGGAGGAGGAGGAGGAGGAGGAGGAGGAGGAGGAGGAGAGGAGGAGGAGGAGGAGGAGGAGGAGGAGGAGGAGGAGGAGGAGCAGGAGGAGGCGGAGGAGGAGGAGGAGGAGGAGGAGGAGGAGGAGGAGGAGGAGGAGGAGGAGGAGGTGCCTCCTGGCGCAGCCGACGTGCGCCTGGCCCCGGGGCAGCAGGTGCCAGCAGGGTGCCCGGCGGAGATGTCTGTTTCCCCGATGGCCCCTGGGGACCTGTGGAAGCCCTGGGGCACCCTAGGACCCTCAGAGGTCAAGGAGGAATGCACCCCACGATTTCTTTCAGCGAGATGCCTCATCGCACGTGTCTGCTGCAGTCGGCGGTGGAGGGCCAAGGCAACCTGCTTCTAGAAGACCAGCATCTTGGGCCGATGCCAATGGCCTTTCTCACGTCCTAGCCAACAGCGGCTATGGACACATTGGGTTCTGTGACGTCCATAGACACACTCGGGGTGGATACGTCTATGGACAACATGGCCGTTGCGTTCGGCGCGGTGCAAGGCCGGAGAAAGGGTAGATCCGTCTGCGGTATGCTCTTGTTCTCGAGCAGGTCCCACATGGTACAGTCGGGGCGCTGAAGAAGGAACCCTTTTCGGTGGGGAGGGGCTCGGTGTTCCTTGATTGTTTCACAGCTTGCCTCGGGTGCTCCTTATGTTTTCGATGGGAAATCGAAGTTTAACTTTTGAAAAAATGGGCCCCGTTCCTTATTTAGGGTTCCTTAGGTCAACGCCCCGACGGTACTCCAAGACAGACGTGCGCCCGGCCCCAGGACGCCAACGCAGTCGCCGCTGCTCGGGCCGCAGCTGGCCCCGCCGCAGACCGTCCCGCCCTACCGGTCGAGGGCCTCGCCCAAGATGGGGCCCGCGCCGTCGCATGCGCGCGGCTCCGCGGACCTGGCCCACAGGCGCGGCGCCGGGGGTCGTGGATCGGGGACCACTCTTAGGCCTCCCGGGTGGGACCAGGACAGAGGCTCTTCGTGAGCCAGTTTGGGAGTTACTTGCATTACTGAGAGGCTTGGAGTTCAAATCATATACCTTCAATCAGAATGGATTTGTACGATGGATTCAAAAGCGCCCCGAGTGGGTGTCCAGAGAAGCTTGTTTGTCCATTTCCCCCAAAATTGCTGCGTAAAAGGGTTCGAGGATCGCGCCGCCGCGGCGATGCATCGGCGAGATGCGGCGCCGGTGCGGAGCCCGATCGGCTCCCGTGCCGACGCATCGCCGATGCACCGGCGAGGCAGCGCGATCCGTCGACCCCATCTACTCGGACTTTGTCTGGGAGGCCACTAGGGTCACGGGGGTCTGGCAGGTTGCATATCCAGGGGTCCGAGGAGTCGAGGGTCCGAGGGATCGAGGACCCGGCGGCTCGAGGAGGAGGAGGAGGAGGAGGAGCAGGAGCAGGAGCAGGAGCAGGAGCAAGCCATACGGCCGAGGAGGGGCTGGGACCGTCGCGGCTTCGCTCGTCGTCGGTCGCCCCTTCGGTCGTGGCTCGCGCGCCGCGGAGCCATCAAAGAGAAGACAAAGAGGCGCCGCAGCCGCGGCGGTCACCCCGACCGCCACGCCCAGGACTAAGGAAGAAGCCTGGCACCGCCGCGCCAGGACCCAAAGAGGACAGGATAGGCTGCTGATCAGACTGGCGGCTGCTGCCAGCAGGCTGGAGCAGCACCACAGCGCGCAGCAGCCCCAGCGCCACCAGCAGCACGCCATGACGCAGAACTGGAAGCAGCAGCGCGGCGCCTCGAGGGAAAGGTGGTCAGGAGCAGGGACCACACACGTCGAGGCGTCGCAGCGCGGCCCTGGGAAAAGGTGGACAGGAGCAGGGTCCACAGCCCAGGCGCAGCACCAGCGCAGGCGCAGCAGCAGTGCCAGTGACTGGACTGGTGACTACGGAGCCATCGGGGGGCGACCCTGGGAGTGGGCCCTTGGGGATGGCCAGCAGCACAACGCGCAGAGGCGGCAGCACAGCCAGCAGCAGCAGCAGCAGCAGCAGCAGCCTCATACCCACAAGCACCACCACCAGCCAGCCCACCACCAGCACCAGCAAAAGCAACCACAGCACCAGCAGCGAAGCGACAACGCCCAGCACTGGAAGCACAGTGCGCCATGGAGGAGCGCCTCTGCCAGAAGGAGGGGCAGCAGGCGCAGAAGGAGGAACCAGCACGACGCTCCAGCCTCAGCCTACATCGGCAGCTTGCAGTACAGCCCGCAGCAGAAGGCAGTCCTGGACAGCATCACGCCAGTCTCCTTCGCCGTTGCGATGGAGCATGAGAGCTGGTCCGCACCACCAGACGACGAGGAAATGCGGTTCGTGCGGTACAAGACGAAGTGCCACAGGCTGGGACGCCTCTCCGAGAACATTGCTGGCGCTAGGCTGGCGGGTTTGTGCACATCAAGCCTCGAGCAGGAAGCGGCGATCACCGCCACGAACATCTCCTTCGTCTTGCCCCACAAAGAGCGCATGAAGCAGCTCAGGGCTACACTGGAAAAGCTGGAGGAGGAGCACGCCGAGATGGAGAAGCGGCTCAGCAAGATGCTCGACCAGGAGGCGGCGGCCGCCAGAACCATCAGGGTCTACAAGACCCTGCTGTGGGAAACTAGAGATCATATGGCAAAGTCAGCGGGTGTGAAGGAGGAATCGTCAGAGGAGGAGGGGGGCCAGGACCCCGCCACAGGACGCACGCCACACCCGGCTGCGAGGAGGAGGCGCGACCCAGCTGCAGCACTAGCGGCACCAGCCACAGCTCAGCCAGGCATAGCAGCGAGTGCCTCCTCGGGACCAGCAACAACTGCACGATCAGCCCCAGCAGCACCAGACGAGATCAACGACGCCATCAGGAAATTGACCGAGAGGCTCGACTCGCAGCAGAAAAAGGAACAGCAGCAAAGCGACCTGCTGGCACAGGCAGAGCTTAAGCACAAAAGCGAGCTGAAGGCCTACGAGCAGACCATGGCGCAAAAGATGATCCACACGACCGAAGCGCAGCTGGCCAAGCAGGAGGAGTGGCACACATGGGAGGTCAACGCGCTCAAGCGGCACCACAACGCCAAGCTGGAGGAGGAGGAAGCGAAAGCATACGAGGCGCATACAGGCAGCCAGAGGACACAGGAGGAGAGGGCCAAAGGGATGCTCGTGGACTTGCAAATGCACCTCGAGTTGGAAAAGAAGACACTACGCGAGGAGATGCACAAGGAAGACCAGAGAAGAGCAGCCATCTACACGCAGCAGGTCCAGAAGGCCAGGCAGGAGGAGCAGGCTGTGAGACAGATGGCGGCTCAGGAGGCCCAGTGGTACAAGATGGCGCAGGAGCACAATGAAAAGGCGACGCAGGAGATGGCGGAGGCGGAATGCCAGGAGCGATGCGCCCGGCGCAGCGCTTACAAGGAGGAGGAGCTGCAGATCGCAGTGAACTACCAGCAGATGGCCTACGAGCACCAGGAAGAGGCCAACAGGCGCGAAGCGATGCGGGTCGTCCTGAACCTGGAGCACGCAGCCATCCAGGCGAAGGCATACGGGATGCAGCACGAGCAGGAAAAGTACTTGGAGCGCGTCTGGGAGCACCAGGAGGCGGTGGACAAAGCTCAAAGGATGGAGGAGGTGGCGCTGCAGCGCCAAGCAGCAGCCACGAGCGAGCTCCAGGCATTGCAGCACCAGCAGGAGTTGGAGAACCACGTGTCTCAACAGTACCACAGCACTCTGCAGCACGAGCACCAGCAGGAGATGCAGGCCGCGGTGCAGCACTACGCCCACATCCAGTACATGAGCGACGCACAGAGGCAGCAGCAACTACAAGACCTCCAACGCGCACATGATCTGCAAACGGCAGGACTCCAGTGCGCCCTACGGGACGCCTGGGGGGCAGGAGGACAAGTGGACGAGGACCTGCTACTCGACATGACGGACGACCTCATGGAAGACCCAGTCACGATTGAGCGTGACCAAGGCATGGCGGAGCAGGAGGGCACGTACCAGAGGGAGCAACTGGAGGCAGACCTACTCCGGCTCCTACCTAGCCAGTACGAGCTCCCACATCCCGAACTACCGCCGTACCTCGAGGAGCTGGCCGAGGTGGGATTTGGAGAGAGGTCTCATACATCGTCGATGCCAACGCCAGAGGAGCCTACCCTCTCGCCGTTCGGCGACCTCAGTTTTCAGGACCTGAACTTCGTGCCGAGGCCACCCGCTGAAGAGCGTCCGATACCGCCACCACCGCCTCAGCAGCGCCCGCCCAGCGAGGGGCGCGCCAGCATCGGCCCATTCCTGCATACGGGGCTGCTCGACGTACGGGCGAACAGTGACTGCATCCCAATTGGCGAATCCGACGACGCTGACTTGCAGGACGAAGAGCCGAAGATGGGCCAAGGCCTGCGCGAGGAGAAGGAGGACGAAGCCCCGACAGACCTCGCCTCACCCTCACCAACGCTACCAGCCGACTCACCCATCCCGACAGAACAGCCCACGCCAAGACACATACTTTTCCCACCCGTCACGCCTCTCACGCCAAACAAGAGCCCACAACAACGACCACAGCCAGCCAAAACCCCCATGACGACCTCGTTCATCGAGCTCAGCCGCGACGAGGAGGCCTGCCCTAGCACACCTCCACGGAAGCCGATCGAGGACATCACGCCCGCCGTGCCACACGAGCCACGGCTGCCACCTCCGCGATTCCACATGGGCACACCAGAGAGGACCGCGCGGTGACGAGCCTACGCCCAGCCACCCCCACCCGCGGCCCCTGGCCGCCCGCGCGCGATCGCACCTAGCTTCCATCACACTACATAGTTACGCCCTAGCCGATGCGAGCCTCGGGGATGCATGCCGCATCCGCTTCAGACCACCAGCGCTCTACTAGGGAGCCCCGACTCAAAAGACGCAGCAGACGAACCACCTGCACTACCAGCTCCCTAGACGCCGCAACTGTGGGCAAGGGTGGGGACCACCCACAGGACGGCGACTTCAAGCTTGAGCGCTCCAAGCGCGGACCTGAGCGACCCCCTCAGGCCGCGACCCCCTTTGCCGCCAGGGTTCAGGCAGGCAACCAGCACCGCGACTGGGCGAGGCTGCAGCAAGAGTGGGAGAGCTACTCGGCCGGCCAGCCGCAGTGCCAGCAGCGTGGACCAAGGCGACACCCCTTGGCCACGCCAGGATCGACACCCAACTTCGCGGGAGCTGCGGCGGCCCATGCGGCGCCGCAACCCTGGCAGCACAGCCGCGCGAAGGCGGACCCAGGCAGCAGGTCGAGACGACCAGAGCCATCTCATCTGGAGGTCTCCCAGCGCCGGGTACCCTGGGGGTATCCCACACTTGCAGTCGACGGAGCCTGGCCCACGCGCCAACCTCCCGCCACCAGCCATTTTGGCTCGCAAGAAGACCGCAAGACAAGCAGAAAGACCCCAAGGGGGCTGGCTAGTCCACCAGTGACAGCCAAATTAAATGCACACACCACGGCACAACTAAGCACTGATCACGCCCGACAGATACAGCATGGACCAATACAAGCCGACGAGCTAGAGCAAATCCAAGATACATACCTCGACAGCAACGACAGCAGCCCAGCGCCAGCATAATCGCACCTCAACGACGTCACAGCGGTTGCAACAGCCAGAAGAGTGGCGAAGCGCAAAAGATTACTCAGACAGGTGCTTAAGGTGGAGATGCTCCCAGGCCGTGGAGCGATACCGACCAAGAACTCCTTCGAGGCGCTCGCAGACAACAGCAGTAGCGAGGACGACGCACGGCCAGATAGTACTCAGCCCCTTGGAACTGAACAACCTGAGGAGCAGGACTTGGAAGCCGCCATCGGGTGCCCGAATCGAGAGCGCCGCAGCGGCCGCCCGAGTATGCGTACTACTTGGAGGCCAACGCCTCGGTCCACAGCAGCAGAGCATACCCAATGCTCAGACG